ATAAATCGATTTTGATATTTACAGTTTTCGAATCTACTCTTATAAAGACATAAAAACTAAAAGATTATTATTATAATTATTAAATAAATATGCCTAAGTATTTATTGAAATATAGAGCTATTCATTCAATTGGATATTTGGTTTTATTAGATTATATTGACAAAATAATAAATCGATAGTAATTGTATAGATTTTTAAGCCATCGCGACAAATGGAATAATTAAAAAAATTTTGATAAATGCAAAAATAATAAACAAAAGTAATACAATAATAATCGGTAAATTACATTAAAATATACTTTATTATATACTGTGCTTCTTTGTGATATAGGGGGGGGGGGGAGGTTGGAGGGCACGCGCCTTAAATTATTAGAAAAGAGTTTGCTTAATCAGAAAATGAGCAAAAATAAAAAATATGTGAATATGTACAAGGTGAAGACATTTTTTGCGGTATTAAATTTCATTTTAGATTATAATGTAAGGTTATTAGGATGTCCTGTAGATGAATAAGACGGTAAAACTTGGTAAGGAATTTTAAAGCGATAAATCATAAAGTACGAATTTTAAATATAAATTAAAGGAACAATATTAAAGGCTAATTGATGTAACATGAATATTGAATTTAATGTCGTCTTTAAATAAAAAATCAAGGGAAATTAATATGTATTTTCACGTGTATCAATGAGTCAATGAAAATAAAAATTTGTTCATCAATTAATTATTAATGAGAGCATTGAGAGAAACGTTTCCTCTATCATTAATGAATAGAGACGCAATGTCAGCTTCAACATTAAAAAATCAAATTAAAAAACCAATATTTTAGGAAATTATTGTAAATTTATTAAATTCGTCGGCACGCGCATGTGGCCAAATTTCATTTTCAGCAGCCAAATATCATCATCGGACCTGCATTATATCCAATCTCACTCTCTCGTTCATCGAGGACGAGCCTCGCAACGCACACAAATACATATTATACTGGAGGGCTCGATTAATGGGCCACATGACGTGTTGGAAGAAGCGGAAACTGGGGGTGGGCCTGATGATGAGAAGCGATCGGGCGTTACCAAAAAGCATTGTAAGCGATGATGGATGCATATTGGGAGCATCGATGCTCCCACCAGTGCAACGTCGTTATGCGGTAGCTTCTTTCATCGGGAATTAATCCCGGGATGCCGATGTACCTTCGCCGTTAATAATCGAGTTAATAATCGATGGCCCTTTGTCCTTTTCCGCGTATCATTTTTCGATTTCGTTGAGGTGCAGCCACGAGCGTAAGCTCGCCATTATGCAACGGCGCTGAGAGTTTGGGCCCGTGACTTTGGATTTTTATTGTCTTTCTGTTGACACGTTGACGATACATTGTTATCATCGTGCGCGATCTTGAAAATTTCGAATCTTGAAAAAAATTCGAATTTACGCCCGGATAGGACGTTCGGATGGTTACTTTGGACAAATAAAATGGAAAAGTGCCAATGCACTTGATTTC